TATTTAATAAATAAGTGTCTAAGCATCGCATTAAAATTATGAAAGTTGCTAAATGATGTTTCGGCAAGTTCCAACTCGTTGCACTTATACGATTATTTGCAATATCTGAGGAAGACGTTTTTTGCCAAAATCCAAATCTTTTCACCTAATTGCCTAATAATTTCTGTAAAATGCCTAACTTCTCATTCCAATTTATTGCAAAATTACGGCTCTCCTTAAATTAGATAAAGTAAATACTTCCAAATCCGCCGTTGAATCAGGTGATGCCGAAACTGATGGCAAGCCCGTGTTTGGGCATGTAACCAATGCAATGATGATTCTTTGCCATGCTTTTATACCTCTGCACTCCAAAGCATGAAATTTTGCATAAATTACTTTTTTGCGCAAATGCAAGACAAAATGCAGCTATGTGTTATTCACTACCTGAAGTATCTTAGTCAATTAAACGTGGGAAAAGTGCTAACAAATCATTTGGCATATTTGGAGTACAGGTTGGATAGACAGTTCCAAAAGGCTTGACGCCAAAAAGCAATGCCATGCAGTGCCTAAAATTGCTCAGCATTTTCTCCTCTACATCGGTGAGAATAAAGAAACATTGTCTTAAACACTTAATACTAACGAGATCTCCACGCAAATGTGAGTCTGTTATCAATAAGTCCCAATCATCATACATTCAGTCTGCTTGGGCAAAGCTATGGAGAATTTTTTCAGTTGGGTGGCCTTATACAAGTATATCTAATGGTCTATCTACTAGGGCTTGCCTGATCAACAAGAAGCTCGACAATTAGGCTAGGCTACAGGGGTACTAACTACTGATCATTTACAAAGCCAGCATCGGCTAAGGTCAGCGAATAAGCTTGACCTTTAACTACTAGACTTAAATGCGATTTCTTAATATCAGGGCCTCAAGGTGCAAGAGCAGCGTTGACCACGCGTTGAAAGGGCACCAGGATGCAATCTTCAAGTTCCTACCACAGAGGCTTTCCTGATTACCTAATAAATTAAGCAACTGCACTCATCGCTACATCCACGCGAATGCAAGAAAATATAGTTCTTGCCATGGTGCGGATCCAGCAGAATAATCAGAACTAGAATATTTGCACTTGAAGATTTTCTTGCCCTACAGCTTTAATCGATTTAAAATAATCTACAGTTATTTGCGAAGACAACATTAAATCATTATGGCAAATTTATTGTTAGTGGTATTTTTATGTGAACATGGGAATGAAAATTTGTTCAGGTTCGCAGCAATCTGTGGAACTTGAATTTCCAGTTAGCGAAGATAAGGTAGCTCTGTTTGATTAGGCCTTTCTCCTATGCCATGTATTCGCTGTGTAGAAGATAGCTTTTCTCTCCGCAGAGGTCACTGACTAACCAATGGGGTGTACAGTGCCGGTCTCCGGCTCCTTGACGTTCGTCGCCACATTAGGTGAAACTGCGACCACACCTTCGGAAACGCCAAAAGCAGAGCATTTTGACAAAGTCATCAGAATTGTTTTTACGCAGCTGCGAAGCATTACGGAAAATTCGTAGCCGCTGGAAGAGGCTAAAATTAAAAGTTAAGATAAAAGGTAAAAGTGGCAGTCCATATGGACAATTTTGGCACATATTTGATTTTACCGAAAAGCGGTTTTTTAGCACTGAGGTAATAAAACAAAATGTTGTTTGTAACAAGTGTAGGGAGGCGAAATCCACCGAGCTTAAGCTTTACTGAGCGAGTGGCGAATGGGTACTCAAATGAGAAAATGTAGATATAGGAAAAGGAGTAGTAGGAAAGCAGGAGCAGAAGGTCCACAAAATTCGTACAACAAGAAACGTGTTAAAGGGGTTTCAAATAATGCAAATAATGAAGATTAAAATGTCATAGCAAGTGACATATGGATCGGTGCATTGAGGTAGTAAAAGGTGGGTGGCTAATGGGCAGACGGGTGTTAGGGATTATCTTCACTCCTCAGCCTAAATCTCAGTCATTGCACATTTCTCCTCATAGCCAACAACCCGCAGCCCTTAGCTCTCCTGCGACCATTGCTGCGCTTTTTTTCTTTAATTTTTCCTGCCTTTATTTTTTAAATAAGTTTCTACCTAAATGGGCTCGCGTTTTGCTGCTCTGCATTCTCTCCTTCCATTCCAATTGCCCATTTCGATATAAATGCGTCTGCAATTTCTCTTTTCTCCCTTCTACTGCCAGTCCCAATTATACCGGTTTCTCGGTTGAGTGACTGATTTTACTAACTGATAGATTGTCTACTTGACCGGCTTACAGACCGGTAGCCAAATTGATTAATGCATTTGCTTGGAGCATTGGGTTCATACTCCCTTCAGCACTTTGTCCTTGTACCACATGATTGCTGCTTAGTGATGTGAATAGCACAGCAGGATCAGCTGCATAATGTTTTATTTAGAAACTGCTACAAACAATCAGCTCTAGTGTTATATAGCAAGATGGCCATGTTTGTATCCGTGGAAGTGGTCACTGTGAACTGTTGTCGTACAGGGTTCACAATGTGGTAAGAAGCGTGCAAGATCATCATGGGTGGTGCCACAATGTGGCAAGCTGTGGGGGTGGTCGTATCCGTGGTGGTAGAGGAGCCAACTGACACTGAACAAGCTCTCCTTAACTGCTTTTTCGCTATATAACAACAGAGCTGATTGTTTGTAGCAGTTTCTAAATAAAACATTATGCAGCTGATCCTGCTGTGCTATTCACATCACCAAGCAGCAATCATGTGGTACAAGGGCAAACAACAAATAAAAAACTTAAAAGTTGAAAGATGTCATGTGATATACAGGAACGCGCATTCGTAAAGGAGGTTTTACAAATCCCTCGAAAAAAGCTACAGCAGGAAAAGGGGATAGGGGTTACCTTTGCGCCTGTCGAATTTCTTGAAATCGAGAGGCCAAATAGGCGTGTACTTCACCAAGAGCAAATTAACGGAGGCAAAGTCAGCTCCATGAAGCACTGATGAGGTCAAGCGTCGACTTGCAGATTTACTCGCAATGGGAGAGAAAGCGTGTAGTGAGGCGCAATTCGTAGGCCTTGTGCACTTCCGAGAATATAAAGGCGTACACAAATAAAAAATTAAAGATATTTGGGCAGGAACAGAAGGAAAGCATCTACAGGTAATGAAGACTGCAAGTTAATGACAGATTCAACTTCCAGAGAATGCAAGTGAAGTGCAAATGCAGTAGAGTCATGTCAACTGATCACATTCGGTTAATGCCCAAGCTCAACATATACATATTTGTTCAGTGCAGAACACGAATTTCAAATCTTGGAGGCACGACACTCCTTATATGCAGACTCCCAAGGTTAGGTAGAAGTGGTAAAAAACAAATTTGATTATTTTTTTCGCTCGCCTTCTTTACACAACGTTTTTGATTAAAAAATGCTCTGCTGATCACAACAAGTTCAAAATATAATTATCGAAACACAACTTTGCCCAACGCGGGGTACTAAGAAGACTTGATCCGACCATGTAGTCAAGCACAAAATTTGTATACTTCAAAATTAGGCCTTAAAATGTTTTTAAGAGAAATTGTGAGCAAAAATGAACACCTTTGCAGCATTAGCAATGTAAGTCTGTCTAGTAAAATATAAAAGAGTGATGTGAAAATAATATTATGTGTCATAGCCAAATATTTATATTTCCTCCAATCTGCTACAAGGCTTTTTAAAATTTAAAATTTTTATTTGCGAGTTTTATTCCGTGCAGCACAATGATCATAAGCGGGTCATAAATTTAATTTCTTTATTTGCATAGTAACATCGGCGCCACAGGCTTTGACCCAATTGTTTAAGAATGGATTCCAAATGACAACCAAAAACCTAGTTCTTATACTTTATTATAATCTTTTTAAGTACAAGACCAATGAATTTTGATTCCGCTCAGTGGATTTATAAATGTGCTCAATCCTAAGCCATAAACCTTGTAACTTATTCCTCGTGGTGGCTCTAGGAAGAAGCTGAAGCCAAAATATAACATAATGCTATGACAGATAATATATGTTTGATGAATAAAAGCCATTTAGGCTGCTGGCATAGTCCAAAGGCCAGCCCACCCGATATGGTATCACAGCCAAATCAAAAGTGCCACTCCACCAAAACCAAGAGCCAACCAACTGACATATTTCAATGCAAGTAATGTATGGTAAAATTTGCAATTTTTAGGTTTTCACGTCATCCTTGTTAATAGAATTTATCATGCATATGGGAGACTTCGAACTCCAATTGGTTATTGAATTCCACACCACAAGCTGAAACTCCAGTAATCGGTGTTGTTTTGACCTTCCCTTAGTGTCGCGTCTAATAGTCAGTCTAACATTGTTCTTGTCCATAGTTGCATTGGAAATATTCAGT